CCTCCAGGCCTTCCTGTCCTCTATCATCTTCTGGAATCCATTTAAGCTCACGCCTACTGCTTCAGTGACTCCATCCAGCCACCTCATTCTCTGTCGTCCCCTTCTTCTATTACCTTCAATCTTTCCCAGCATGAGGCTCTTCTCCAGTGAGTCCTTCCTTCTTATTAGGTGGCCAAAGTATTTGAGTTTCAACTTCAGGATCTGGCCTTCTAAAGAGCAGTCAGGGTTGATCTCCTCTAGGACTGACCGGTTTGATCACCCTGCAGTCCAAGGGACTCGCAGGAGTCTTCTCCAGCACCATAGTTCAAAGGCCTCAATTCTTTTGCGTTCAGCCTTAGTAATAACATTACTTCCAATTTATGTTGGAATTATGGACAAAGTATTATTTTATCATGCCTAGTGGGCTTGTAAAAAAAGTCAGATGCAAAGAATTTTTAAAATCAACATTTCACTGAAACCAGAACTTTTCTTGCTGGTATTGATGGACAGTCAATTAGAAAAGAGCCACGGAAGATGATCTTTATATACGAATACTGCAAGACTATTATAAATGCAGAAATGGAAAGATTTTGAAATACCCACAATGGAGAAATAGTGCCAGATCTAGCAGAGATAGCAAAATTAACTTGTTTGATTAGAGAAAGACCAACAATTTATCAGTGACTGGAAATCCCTTATCGACTTCTTGCTGAAAACAGGAAAATGAACTAGTGATTTACTGTATGGATCTGAAGATTAGAAATGGTAGTTTATGGAAACAAGAAAATTATGGTGCACTTTTAGAGGGTGTAAAATAGAAATTCATTTACAACCACTGTCAAAAAAATTGGAAGTCACTTCCTTATAATCTCCCTGCCCCCTTTTCTCCTTTTTTCTATGTTCTCTTGTTTGCTATTCTTATTTTCTTTTCTAATCTTGGTATTGTTTCTATCTTATTAAAAATCTTTTCAATAAAACTATTTTTTTTAGAAAAAAAAAGAAAGAGCAAAGTAGCTGTGTCAACTTCTGTCAGTTTTGTTCTGAGAAATTTGTTGCCTTTTAGGGGATTACATTCAGAATGTGATGGAAAAGTTCCCAAGAGTCTAAGGCCATGACATTTCTCTCTTCTCCTCATCCATTTGGAAGAAAAGAAAGGATACAGCCAGACAGAGTTGTGATGCCACTTCCGGTTGTATTTTTGCAGTTTTTGTTAAGCGTGCAGCCCAGGGAGATATAGAAGAATACTGGAAGCAAACAACTGGCTATATAACTAAATGATTTTTATACTTCAACCTTGGGATGTAAGGGTCTCCTAGTAAGAGGTCTTCTGTCCCTCAGAAAAGCTGAGAAGAATTTATCACCTTGCAAAGTTGATCTAGAGGGTTTTTAAACTGACCCCTGTAATGAAGGGAGAAGAGATCCTCCCACAAGAGTGAGACACCATGCACTAGGAACAGGACTGGGACTGATACGCAGGTTATGGAGGCACCTAATAACAAACATCTAAACACAAGATAGAAGAAGATTGTATGACCAAATGCACAGAGTATGGGGAACTAATAGGAAGAATTAGAAATGTCATTGCAGGAAGGCAAATTATTATTTTTATATATTTATTTTATTTATTAAATTTCTATGCTGCCCATCTCCTCTACACGGTGACTCTGGGTGGCTTAGAAATTACAAATGGAAATTAGTAGGCATTATTTAAATCTGGTAGGATGAAATTCATGAGTTGTATGCAAGAACTGAAAAATATTGCATATTCAAAATCTAAACAACAATATTTGTTTTATTAAATTTGTTGTGATTGTCCACTCCAGCAGACTTTGGATGGCTCACAAAATCCAAATACACATTAAAAACATAAAAACCATAAAACAGAACATTTCACCATGAACTAAAACAGCTGTAACAATAAAAACATCTTCTATGATTTTCTCCTGTTATTGGCTTTTTCACTTAACATAAAACAATGTTTTGTTTTAGCCCCAAAGCCACAATTGGTTAGGTTTGCATAGCACACTAACTCACATTACAGTTAATAATGGCTGGACTTATGCAAAGCAGATTTTCCCAAGCTAGTGCTGTCCAACTACTTTGGACTCCAATGTCCATAATATTCATTTAGCGTGGCCCATTGACAAAGAAGGCAGATCAGTAAATGATTGGTATCTATGGAGAGAGTGTGTCTAATCCCTTTTCAATCCATAAATTACAAATAAACTGTGTTTGCATCAAACGTCCACTTTCCACATAGGTTTTGCAACTTTATTAGCACTTTTGAAAATAAAATACATTTATGGAATAATTCGGAAGGACCACTTTCATCCTTTTAAAAGCAAACTGTTCAACATATGAAGACAGTAAGGGGATAAGCAGACAATTAAGTGAATTAGACAAATTGCTACCAATTCACAGATGTCATGGGGATTAATGACTATAGGCCTTAATGTTAGTAGGGCCAATTCTGAAGGTCATCTATGAGAGATTAAGGGGTTTCTTTGTGCAGTTGTGAGAACAGACTGCTAGACTAAATAGGCAGGACTCTGATCCAGCAGGGCACAACGTATCTTCTTATTCGTCCATTTTTAAGAGAAACAAGGTCTGAGCAGGCAACATAACAGAATAATAGAACATTTTTCACTAGGAAAACTGAATTAATCTCATTTTGCAAAGGGTCAAGGAATATTGTAGTATGACATGCAAATGCATGAACTGCCTTGGCTACTATGAGTTTTATGTATAAGCCACCCAGAATCAGATATTTGAGATGGGTAACTATATAAATCTATTAAAGAAATGTTAAAAAGTGATGGGGTCGATGAAAATGAATTCAATCCACAACCGTTTGTACCACAAGGATTTGGTTTAGCCTTTGAGGTGCTCCAATTCTCTTTAGTAACTTTTAACTTAAGGAACCACAGCCCGCTAGTGACACTCTATGGCCTGTTTGAACATTTGAACCTCTACTTCTTTGTACAGAATGACAGTAACATTGCCTCATCCTTAGTAACAGTTGGAGAATTTGACCTGTTTAGGGCAACTCAGCTCTTGACAACCTGGGACTAGTCATTGGGTCAAACAGCACTTTTTTAGCCTTGATTTCTGTACTGTTTCCAATTCACACAGTCCTGAAACAAAGCAATATAAATTATTGCAGTATACTTTTTCTTCCTCAGAGGAGTGCTCTTGTTCAGGATTTCACCATTTCACTGAAACAAAAAAATTCAACGTTTCTCTACTACTAAAGTTCCCTCTCACTGTCCACACCCTTGCTTTTTTTCAAGTGTATTCAACATTTCACTCCTGCTGACTTATTTGGTCCTCAGTGGAGTGTTTGGAGGACTTTGTGTTTATTGTCCCATTAAAGATAGAATGCTGTAAATTAGGCCAGAAATATATTAACAAGGGAGATTACAGCAGCAAAAAGAAGCTACTCTGAAAAGCTACAACTTCTAAAAGATACAATTCTACAAAGGAATGATTGACTCCGTCATCTGCACCTCTAGAACTGTCTGGTTTGGCACTGCAACCAAACAAGACAGACACAGACTTCAACGGATAGATAGAACTGCAGAAAAAACAATTGCTACCAGCCTTCCATTGAGGACCTGTATACTGCATGAGCAAGAAAGAAAGCTGTGAAAATATCTACAGACCCCTCACATCCTGGACATAAACTATTTCAACTTCTTCCCTCAAGGTGACGCTATAAGGCATTGCACACCAGAATGACTAGACACAAGGACAATTTTTTCCCCCACTGTCACTCTGCCTAACAACTAATTCCTACAACACTGTCAAATTGTCAAGCTGTATTACTATTATTCTCATCTTTCCTATTACGTATCCTTATCTTCTTATGACTGTAACTTTGTTGTTTGTATCTTACAATTTATATTGTTTAGTAGCCTAGTATGATTTATGTTGTTTGTTTAGCTAGTATTCTGACTATCACTAAGTGTTGCATCTTATGATTTATGATGAAGTGTTGTATTTTATGATTTATGATGGAATGTATTTTTATGTTGTTTATGATCATGATTTATCACTATTACTTGTATGTACACTGTCTGAGAGCTTATGCACTGGAGACAAATTCCTTGTGTGTCCAACCACACTTGACCAATAAAGAATTCTGATTAAATTTGCTTTTTTGAATGCTCTGGTTTCAACTTCTGTGGACCTGAGCGGGGGAGGGGGGGGCTGGAGTCCCTCAAGCATACTAATATTTTCCTCTTATTTCTCCATGGTTTTGTGTCAGTTCCCATTGTTTCAGAACCCTACAAGTTTGTATTAGGCAGAATCTGCAATCCTATTCAAATTCAACTTTATACTAGTTGAGTAAACTATGGTTCTGCAGTCTTTTTTTGGTAGTTTTTCAAAGATATCTGACTGGCCATTGCAACAATAGAAGAATAGACTAAATACAACTTTTGTTCTAATCAGCCAGGTTCTTATTATCACAATAAGCTATATTAAATGGTACTTACTTCTCTGTAGACCCAGATAAGATTGCACTGTGACTTACATATTTATAACACAACATCAAGGCCCCCAAGCAATGGTGAATTCCACAAAAAGAATGATAGCGGAAAAATACTAAAGGATGTTTATGAGGGAAGTAAAATGAATCAGTTTTTTACCCACTGGTCACTGATTAATATAATTTGCATTATAATTATCTATAGACAGCCATTTCATTAATGGTGAATGCTTTCTGCTTCTTATGCTCCTAATTCCAAACTAGTCCAACCAGCTGAAATCACATGTTCCCTTCCCTTCTTCAGTATTTTGTCCCAATGTACAGGAAATGCTCTCCAACCCACAGTTTCTCAAGCCTAATTTTCAACCTATTGATGTTGATATGCCATTGTACCATAGAGTTACTAAAGGCTTGTTTCTTGAATTATGAAAAATCTGGGGCATCTTCCTTTCTCTGAACACAGGGATATCAGCAAGCCTTTTCCAAGCTGGCAAGGAATATCCTGGGGAAAAAAATTGATCAGGCAAGCAAGTTGTAAAGAAAATATTTTATTAAAAATTTCACTGTCAGAGAGGAAATTGAGAATTTAAGGGCTCAGAAAGCAATGAAGAGGTACAGAAAAGGCAGAGCTGACAACTGTATCAACATGGAATAATGAGGCCAACTGCAAAGCACAATGAGTAATCTCTTGTCTCCTCCCTGTAAGGCACAATGACCAGGTCTGTCATTTCCTTCCCCACCCCAATTTGCAATTTCTCACAGATGCTCAGCCAGTCCCGTACTTGAGGTGGTTTGGCCCTTGGAGCAATAAACAGCTGCCTTCTCATCAGATAATTCCCTAATAATCATTTCTCCTGTTCATTTTGCTGATGACTCTTCAGCTCAGCCAGCAGAGATTTACATCCAAGCAAAGAATCCTTATATACAGTACAACAATAAAACAAAATCTCATAATATCTACCAAAAAAAAGAATAAACAAAATAATTATCTCCTCATTCATATCACTGAGTATATCCAAAAGTTATGTACAACTTCATACAGAATGGATAGGAGTATACTCGCTGGCTTCACAGGCTAACCTTCTGTGCTATATAGACAGAGAGGAAGATGATTCAAATTCAAAAGCAAGATTTGGATTTAAAATTAATATTCAGCTTTGCTATTGGATTCCCCAAGGTCAGGCAAGAGCTGGGCAATCCACTATAATACAAGCCAATTACAGGTCATTCTATCATATATTGCACCACTGTGAAATACTTCCTCCCCTTTAGCTCCTGGGAAAATTCAGTGCCCTCAGAAATGTTCGAAGTCACATGTAAACTTGCCAGAATGATGGGAGTGATCCACCTAATGACCCCAAAGCACAAGCCCTTATTGAAACAGCCTTCCTTCCACACATAAGCAAACACGTACAACTCAGGGGAGTTTTCTTAGAGACATGCATCCTCCAATGAGCAGAAATTGAGGTAAAGCCTGATTAACTATTTTTTGAGGAAGTTTTTGAAGAGAGATGGAGAATTTATTTCAGGCATCTCTATCCATAAAATGAACTCAGAAGTCAGCCATAACTGTAAATTATCAGATGCCATAAAATGTAAGACATCAATTTTCAAACTGGGGTGTAGGTCATAGTAGGAATAGGAAAGGGATAAAAAATAGCTTACATCAACAAACAGGAAGGTCAATGAAAACATCACAGGCATCAACCTATATATTTCATATAATCTATTTGTGGAAAATTGGGACAAACCTATATTCTATCTTTATAAAGTGTGGGCAACACCTGCTTTCTCTATATTTAAGTAGGGCTGTGCAAGAAGCAGAGTCTGCCAACTTTCATGACTCTCCTTTTTTCCAAGGATCTTGTGAAAATTAGCTCTGAAGAAAAGCTAATTTCGAAAATGTCCCTATGTAATTACATTATTTAACTACTTAAAGAGATTGTATAGTTGAAGACGAATTATAAAATGAGGAATATCCTCTTTTTCTGTCACAATTTGATTCTAAAAATAAATAGATATGAAGAACTCAAAACAGTATTGTAACATTAAACTAGAAATGATAACTAGAAGATAGGAACAGAGGGGAAATCCAGAAGAGAAAGGCAGAGCCAGATTTTTCAGTCATGACCTAATTTCTATTTCCTCTTACATGCATTCAGATCAAACCACGATTTGCCTGTTTTCCATTTAGCATTAATCTAGGTATTTGGCATAGATGAGATGAGCTCAGGCCCCAGCCTAGACATTAACAGATTTGCGAAAAGGACACCACTTTTACTTAATTAGTCCATCAAAATATTTCATCAAAATGCAAGTTTAAAAACTGTATCACTTTATGTACCAGTTAAAACACAGGGAGAGTGGCTTTAAGGCAGCATTAGGTTTTAAACAGAAAGAAATAGGAAGAAGTAAGGAATGTTCTATGTGTTTCTCTCTGTCTGTCTATCTCTCTCTCTTTCTCTCTCTTTCTCTCTCTCTCTCTCTCTCTCTCTCTCTCACACACACACACACACAAAGACAAAGAAATGTAGGGTTCAATGGGTTTGTGGGAAGAAGAATCCCATTCACTATGGCTCCTTCAATAGATATAGCAAGTCCTTACACTTAAAATAACCTTCATTATAGAACTCAGGGAAATATGAACTCAAAAAAAGTCAATGTACTGTCAGAGGAGGCTAATCTTCTGATCACTCCTTGCCCTTAGAAACTATCACAGGATCAGGACAGGTAGAGTTTGTAAGCAGCTAATGGATAGTCTAAGGAAACATGGAAAAAGGAAGGAAAAATCCTTCAGTAGATCCTCTCCCCCACATACACAAGCATGACAAGCAGTTGATAAGACTGTCCTTCCCAGAAATGGAGGATAATTTTACAGAATCAGATGGGCTTTGTGGTGCTGTTGTATACCAGATGTTCTGTGTCTTCAGCCGTCGATAAGACAGAAGAAAGAGTGGAATTAGCCACAGTAGGGGGCTGACGACGTCTTCGATAAGTTTTTCGCTTCTTTAGGAAGAAGTAACCAAGGACTACCGACACTATCATGATGCAGACACCGAGGAGCACAGCAATGGTCACTTCAAAAGCACCTATGAGAGGTGGAGAAGGAGTGGGAGATGGAGAGAGAAATCATGATTATACTGAAATTGTCGGAATGCTTTGTTATGCAAAAATTTCAAGACACATTTTTGCTTTACGAAGGCTCCCAATCCATTCAGAAACAAAGGAAACACCTATGTTTCTAGGACTCTTCCTTAAAAGATGCTAGTACAGGATCAGCCTAAATCCAGCTCTAGGTCACCTTAAGAAAACTATAATTATAATGTAACTTTCTCAGATATGCATACCTGCTGACGTGATTTTGACGAACAAACTGGGAGTGGAAATGCTAGTCTTAATTCAGGTTCTAAACGTTGCTGCCCTTTAGTATCAAAATTATACCAATTATACCACAAAAACAAAACAAAAAAATGCTCTGGTGGCAGGGAAAATTATTAGAATTCTTAAGCCAGTATTTTTTATGGGAGCAAAAGTGCAAGTTTTGTAACATCTAATTTTCCCATTTTCTATGGTTTTTGTTCTTTTGTGGTATATACTTTGTTATCAGTAAAATAAATCATTTTATTTAGAAGTACGTCATACTTCTTTCCACCACCCAAAAATGTAATGCAAGTTGCTATTAAGAATAAAGATTGTAGCAAGCAGAAGAAAAGGGATTCAAGAGTTATTTTGAATGTCATTACATACTTAAACTGGCTTGTTGATATTCGAATCCTCTCCATCTCTCCCCAATCATATCTTCCTCTATATTAAAAGAAAATACAGGATTATGTAACAATGTTCAGAATAATGGAAACAACAATGTACTGATAATATTAAGTTACTAGTAGTTACTATTAAGTAACCATCCCCAGGAGGGCAGGACGGGAGCCAAGGATGCCATTATGCCCAGAGATGATTATTTATTAGTTATTTAATTAATTTATTTGTATCCCGCCTTTATTATTCTTACAGGTAACTCAAGGTGGCGAACACATCCAACACACTTCCTCCTCCTATTTTCCCCACAACCACCACCCTGTTAGGTGAGCTGGGCTGTGTGTGTGTGTGTGTGTGTGTGTGTGTGTGTGTGTGTGTGTGAGACTGGCCAAGGTCACCCAGCTGGCTTTCATGGCTAAGGCGGGACTTCAACTCACAGTCTCCAGCTTCCCTTCACCACTACACCAAACTGGTTCTCATAATAATCAAATTTATATAGCCACTTATTTCCTCCCAAGGTTATTCTGCAAAGCAGACAACAATAAATTAAAAACAGCCAATATAAAATTGATAAATTCTAAATGATCACAGTAATAAATATCATAAAAACAAAAATAATAATCCTGGGTGGATAAAAATGGCATCCTCAACAGTTGAGCCAACAGGACAGATCTCTCGTCCCCTGAAAGCCCCAGGCCTGGCAGGATCACCAGGTCTTGAGGGCTTTACAGAAAGTCAAAATGGAGACATCATTTCTCCTGATGTCTTACTAGGCTTCTGGCCCACTTGACTAATTTTTTTTTATTAATGTAATTAAATAAAAACTAGCATGCTGCAAAATAAAGCACCAGCCTCTAGCAACAATACTACTGAGTGCTGTAGAGGTCCCACTATAATGATTTAAAAAAAAAATCTTTTAAGATTTTCTTCTTACTTGTGACACCTCCACATAATTTCATACATGTTTCTTCCTGCTCAAAATTATTTTTGTTGCCTTCACAGCCTCCATAAGTGAAGCGACCACACTTCTCAGTCAAAGGGTTGTAGTACCAGCGAGATAGACTTCCTTCACACGGTCCAGTATCTGGCACATCCACACAATAAGCTACCAGAAAGGAACAAGGAATATTGTTAGCTATTAATTAATTGTATTATACTGACCTATCATGATTAAATATTAGATAAAGCCATTAGCACTCAGAGAATTGGTCTACTGCCTATGTAGCACAGCTAGCTTTTTTTTAAAACTTAAAATGTATTACAGGTAGGCCAGTGGTGGCGAACCTATGGCACGCATGCCAGAGGTGGCACTCAGAACCCTCTCTGTGGGCACGCACGCCATGCCCTGGAGATGGCAACCGTCCCTCTTCAATCAGCCTCCCGCTAACTCGTCAGGGTCCCACATGGCCGGATGCATCCCAGCACCCATGCGCTCGCCGGCCTCTGTGTGCAGGGGCCGATGGTGTCAGGCAGCAGCCGCCCCGGATCCTGACTTGCCTTGCCCTGTGACAATGGCACCTGTGCCCTGCCTTGCCTCACCTTGCCTTGCCTCACCCTGCAGGACGAGCCTCCTGCCCACCGCCCCACCTGCCAGAGATCTCTTGATCTCCTCCAACCCTGCCCGGCCCCCACAGGTATTCCTCCCCAAGAGCAACATCGAGGTGATCACGCCCACCTTGGTCACACCCACCCAATCTGCCATGACCACCACACCCACACCCACCCAGCGATAAATAAGTGGGTTTTAGGTTGCAGTTTGGGCACTCGGGCACTAAAAGGTTCGCCATCACTGCTCTAAAATTTACAGTTTAGAGAAATACTTTACCTTGCACCATTGTTATAATGGTTATTTTTCTTTTGCAACTGTTAGCTAACCCTAACATTACAGGATAAAGGCCAATAGCAAACATTCAGGGAACATTCCATCTTTTTATACAACTTACCCAATATTTTAAAAATTATAATAACAATGTGTCAAACCCCTCCAATGTATTTGTCTGCATATTATTGCTTTATTATTGTTTTGCCTGTGTATTCCTTTCCAAGGTCTGCCATTCTGATGGGAGTGGGGCTGCTTGCCTGGGAAATGTATTTGCCTGGCTCTGCTCTGTCCTCTCTGAAACGTCCTCCCTTCATGTGAAAGGAATGTGGCCTGAAAACATCTGCTTTATCTCCAGACAACGAAGCCTGGACCATTGGGAAACAAAAGCGAGAGAGACCTTGAGATGGGCGCTAAATCACCAGGCTCTCAAAACAGCCTGGCACCTGTGGATTGGCTGGATTTCAATCGGACAGTGGACACTGGGGGGAGGAGTCCTGAATGGGCATTATGATGTAACCTTTCGCATACAAATTTTTCGCATACAAATTTTTGCTTTGCTCTATTGCTATCACTAACTCTCAATAAAAGTTCCTTTTGAAACAATGCCCGTTTCAAGTGTTCTACTTTCTTGGGAGATCTAGTTGAGGCAAACCTTTACATAATGATTAACGCTATTACAAAGTGACATGGTTTCATGCTTTCATTCACTGTGTTTATGTGACAAACACTGCACTCCCCTCTGGCAAGTATGGTGAGCCCCAGACGGCCTTTGGGGCTTATGAACTAGAAAAGAAGCTAGGGAATGTCTGAGGGCTACCAAGTCATTTCCAGGTGCTAGATGGACATTTCTTCATGACCTCTCTAACACCAGAATTCACACTTGAGGTTTCACACAGACTTTCTGAAGTCTTGGCCAGGACACATCCTGATTACAACTAACAGAGCCAACAACAATAACAATAATAAAGTTGGAAGGGACCTTTGAGGTCATCTAGTCCAACCCCCTGCTCAGGCAGGAAACCCTATACCATTTCGGACAGATGGCTGTCCAGTCTCTTCTTAAAAACTTCCAGTGTTGGAGCATTCACTGCTTCTGGAGACAGGTTGTTCCACTGGTTAATTGTTCTGTCAGGAAGTTTTCCTTAGTTCTAGGTTGCTTCTCTCCTTGATTAGTTTCCATCCATTGCTTCTTGTCTTGCCTTCAGGCGCTTTGGAAAATAGCCTGACTCCCTCTTCTTTGTGGCAGCTCCTGAGATATGGAAAACTGCTATTATGTCCCCCATCCTTTTCGTTAAACTAGACATACCCAATTCCAGCAACCGTTCCTTATATGTTTTAGCCTCCAGTCCCCTAATCATCTTTGTTTCTCTTCTCTGTACTCTTTCCAGAGCAGACATGTCAAACTCTCAATGTTACATGATGTCACGTGATGTATCGGAGCTTTTTCCCCATTGCCGGCAATGGGGTGTGTGCAGTTTCCTTGTGACGCGTCCGGACTACGGGCTGGCAGTTTGACACCTGTCCTAGAGTATAAGCTAAACTAAAATGAATATAAGCTTAACGGTAACTATGGATTGTTATTATGCTTTTATAACAAGTTCTACTTACTGCAGCTTACACAAGACTGCCACAAGCAAATTTACTACATGCCCATGTTTATACTATATTTGACTTTACAGTTCCACATTTTTTTTGTCTTTAATCATTTTGACTATCAAATTGTGCTACTTAAAGCAGATCTGTGTTTATAGAAAGAAACATTTGACTGTTGGAAATAGACAACTGAGGATATCTGTTGATGTGACCATTTCCCAATAATCAGTTATTCAAGATTATACTCAAGATTATACTCAGAGTAGTTAATTCTTTAACAGAATCCATTCAAATTCTACCTGATTGCAGACATCTACTTCAATTATATTTGGAAGAAGCAAGCGTAGATTTTTTTAAATGTGTTAAAATTTGTTTCAAGTGTAATCCTTCATGCATTTTATAATATACTTACTTCTGTCAGTAATATTGATTTTCTGTAACTTATTGAATCCTTGAATATCTGAAAGAGACAAAGAGCAGAATGCAGAATGCTTACAGACAGGCTTTTTATTTGAAAATGGAAATAATTCTTATGGTGTATGTCATAAACTAAGTGACATATTTTAAAAACATTTTTGTCTTCTCATTTTTTTAATTCCACTCTGCCTCTGTTTCTTAGTAAACCTCATTTACTAATCTGTTTTAATTTAGTGTTAACTAGGCATAGTTAACACTAAAATTTAAAACAATATTAAACAATATTTGAGGCCAATCAATCCAAGGACTATGTAAGAAAAGAGAAGTTTTGTAATAAAAATAAATGATGCCAATGTAAATATTCTCTTTTATTTTACAGATCATTAATTTGCTCTTTTGTTTTGCATAATAAACAGATTAAGTTTTGTTTAGAACAGAAAGCTATGCATGACACTGGGGTGCAATTATATACACATTAAAAACAGCTGTTTAAATTCAATATAAGCTATTCTGACCTCTTAGGAAGCTCTCCAACCTTATCAGATTTGCTTTGAGCTAAAAACAATCCTATTTTAATCTCAAACCTGAGCCTTACTTACAGCTTCTCTTCAACTTAAAACATTTCAAATGTTTGTGTTTGTGTGTGTACATATACACATACACACACACATACATACATACACACACATACATGCAGGCTATAGAAATTTACTATGTACTAAAATTTCCTTTTTGAATTTCCCAAGAGCTTTCTCTATTATCTTCTCACAGGACAATCAAGAGGCCAGATCAGACCAAAGGCCTATCCAACAACAGCCCAACTGCATTCTCACAATAGCCTTTAGATGCCCATCAAAAATTCAACAGAAAAATGTAAGTCGTATGTTTGGGGTAGGCTTAAATTTAATTTGTTGTAGTGAACACAGTTGGACTCAGTGGCCTTCAATACCATCTCTTTTTTTATTAATCTAAGACAGTTCAAGGATGACCAACTTACACGAATCACAAAATTTCTCATCTGACCCATCTCGACAATCTGGAGTTTCGTCACATTCTAGAACTCTGTCAATGCAGCAGCCATCTTCACATTTGAAATAGAAGGGCAGGCAATCTCCATTGCACGCTGTATGAGAAACATAGATTAGTTCTCAAGGGCTCTCAGCAAAGATGGTTTATCTTTGTGACATTCAGATAAAAAGATGTTTTCCTTCCTTGGGCATAGCAGAAATAGAATATAGGCAGTCCTCAATTTCCAACAGTTCATTTAGTGACCATTACAACAGCACTGAAAAAAGTGACTCATGTTTTTCACACTTGCGACTGTTGCTTGGCAACTCTCATATTTATGATGGTTGCAGTGCTCCAGGATCATACTGAATCTTTTGTGAGTCTAACAAACAAAGTTAAGAGGAAGCCAGATTCACTTAACAATTCTGTTACTAACTTATCGACTGCAGTGATTCACTTAACAACTGTGGTGAGAAAGTTCATAAGATAGGGCAAAACTCACTTAACTGTCTCACTTAGCCACAGAAATTTTGGGCTCAATTGTGGATGTAAGTCGAGTAGTACTTGTAGAAAAGTACTAGGAAGTGCTTCACTGCAATGCTACAAAAGCATAGAGTAAGAAACCAACAACCAAAGATGTACCACTAAGCCTCATGTCACTAAGGATGGATGCTATCATGGAAAACTACAGAAGAACTTACTTGGTTCTTGACGTTTTTCAACAGCACCTGAAAAAAAGGAAATCGGGGTAAAGTACTGTCCTTTCAAGAATCAGTTTTTCAAATAGCTCTCACTGAAACATTCAATCCAACCACTTTACCAATTCAGTTTTTTTTAAAATAATAATAATAATAAGGGATTGGAGAATTGCCAGCCCAGAAACTACAAATCGTGTCCCTTATATACTTTTCTGGTATGCACTTAACATGTATAGAAGCCGCTTAAAATTATTTATGCAACACATAGAAACACAATAGAGGCAATATTTGTCATTCAGACAAATGCCAATCATATGCTTCCCTCTACTGGCATAAAGACGAAGTATTCCAGATTTCATAGCCTGGCTCAGCCTTCTTCAACCTGATAATGCCCTCCAGATGTTGAATGATGTTAATAGTTGTTTCCCAACCTGGCTAATTGGGAATTTATGTGAGTTTTAGCCCCCACAAGCCATAAAAAGCCTCTCTTTTTCTGTTTCTCTGACTCAGATGTATACAAACTGAGTTCACAAACAAACTATGTATTGGAAAGCATGTTTTTGTTGTTGTTATGAGTGATTTGGGGCACTGTGGTTTACTCAATAAATCATGATTAAAACATTAGAATGAAACCAGCCAAATCAGCTTAATTTGACTGAAAGTTATAAGAATCAGTAGTTTCAAAATAATTCTGAATTAATTAAGTTTCCCCACTTAAATCTCTAAAATAGAGAAACAATATCTTCTAACACAGGGCTTTTCAACCTTTTCATCCATTGTACCACTTTTAGGATATGGCAACATCCGAGTACCACCAGTCGCCTAGCAAGGTGTCAAAAACTTGATGACAAAAAAAAAAAAAAAAAGGAAAAAAGTGATGAAGTACAGGTAGTCCTTGACTTACAACAGTTTGCTTAGTGACTGTTTGAAGTTACAATGGCACTGAAAAAAGTGCCCCCCAAGCCACAGCCAAGCAAGACACCTGCCTGCCTACCCGGCAGCGCTCTTCTTCCTGTCCGAGGTTTTCATTGTTGTGAGCATTTCTGTTGAGACTGACAGTGGGGGTAGGGTGGGGGGTGTTTGGTTTTTATTTCCCCTGTCTGCTGGGTGGGTTGCAGCAGGTTTTGGTCACTTCACATGACCCTGGGACACTGTGACCGTCATAAATATGAATCAATTGCCAAGCATCTGAATGTAAATCACAAGACCCTGGAGATGCTACAACATTCCAGCTGATTGGCGCTTCTTCTGGGCTCAGCAGAAGCACCAGGATCCGCGCCGAGCTCCAGTTGGAGCCTGGCACTGATCCTGGCGCTTCCACTGAGCCCTGACAGCCCCAAAGAAGCGCCGATCAGCTGGAAAGCAGCACTGATCCTGGCGTTTCCGCTGAGCCCTGACAGCCCTGCAGCTCCAGCCATCTCTCGCTCAGGCTTGTGCGGTGCTGCCACCAGTTCAATTCATTCCCCTCCCCCGCTACCACTTTTCTAGGATGGTCGTGTACCACCTGCCAGGTGCAAATGTACCACAGGTGTACCCGTACCACTGGTTGAAAAGCCCTGTTCTAACAAACAAACCTTCCACTTTCTTGCAGGCAAGATTACATTCCTCTTTTCTGACATAATTGTTCTTGTTGGGATTGCAGCCACCAAAAATGAACTGTTGACACTGCTCCATTTCAGGATTGTAGTACCAACGATGGAAGGAACCTCGGCACCGTCCCACTTTATAAGGAGCCAAGCAATGATCTAGGAAGAACAAGGAAGGTGAATTCTCACAGTAAGGGTAAGAGAAGGCATAAATTATATCTAGTCTATTTTCCCAGATTTTACAGTGTTGCCAGTTGAAAGAAAGATGGGAGCAAGTAGTTGTCAAGGACTATTCTTCCAATAGAATCTCTAAATATATTTTAATAGCAAATACAAGATGTCAGCGCACCCAGAGATCTCTTCAGGTTATCTTACAGCAGAATGTTAAAAAGTCTATAGTATACAACACACCTACCCACCCACACACCCACACATTCATATTCTTCTTACAAATATAAAATAAATAAAGAAGTAATGGGTTCCATGCAAAAAACAAGGAAGAACATTTTAATAATAATAATAGTAAAGTTGGAACGGACCTTGGAGGTCAGCTAGTCCAACCCCCTGCTGTTGTTGTTTTTAAAATGATGGTGGGAGGAACTTTAATAATTCTAAGGAATAATTGCATTTTTCTTCGTGTATAAAGGCTCCTGCACTAAGATACCAATCCAATCTGCGTTATTTCAAGAGCATATCTGTCTATTTATTTGCTTATCTGCCTCTCTAACTCTATTCCGTATGTGGCTACGCTGGAGTCAGGAAAGGAGAGAGAACAAAGCAGGAAAGAATTACATACATCAGAGCCACTATCAGCATAACTGAATAGTTTCCTGAAAGAGAAGTTCAGATGCTCCAAGCACTTATGTCTTTGGCAGTCATTAATAAGTTACTGTGTAGAGTGCTGCCTGCACATTGTTCACATCTACCAACTTTTGCAAATCCCATATTTTAGGGAAAACAGAATGTTTTAGGCCAGTGATGGCGAACCTTTTAGAGACCGAGTGCCCAAACTACAACCCAAAACCCACTTATTTATCGCCGGGTGCCAGGTGGGCGTGGCTGACTGGGTGTGCGTGGCTGTGGTGGTCATAGCAGATTGTGTGTGTGTGGCCAAGGTAGGCATGGTCACGTTAATGTTGCTCATGGGGAGGGAAGCCTGTGGGGGGTGGGCAGGGTTGGGGGAGATCCAGGGGGTCTCTGGCAGGTGAGGCGGTAGGCAGGAGGCTCGTCCTGCGGGGTGAGGCAAGGCAGGGTGGGGTTGCCATTGCCATGGGGCAAGGCAAGGGCCAGGGCGGGTGTTCCCTGACACCATCGGACCCCACACACAGAGGCCAGCGAGCACATGGGGGCCGACAGTGTCCGTCAGCAGCTACAGCCTGCTGGCCCCACGACCAGCGCACTCTGGGGCTCCACAGCCTGCAACCAGCAGTTAAAAGAAGCCGCCTCTGAGCTGGATGGCTGGCTGACAGTTAAGGAGGTGATGCAGTGGGTCGTGCCCAGGAAAAGCATGCAAGACCAGGAGGGACGGGATGGGAGGGAAGGAAACCAGCCATGCTGGGATGTATCCGGCCACGTGGGATCTCGGTGAGTTAGCGGGAGGTTGGTTGAAGAGGGACAGTTGCCATCTCCAGGGCATGGCGCGCATGCCCACAGAGAGGGCTCTGAGTGTCACCTCTGGCACCCGTGCCATAGGTTCGCCACCACTGTTTTAGGCTTTTTAAAAATGGCATTAAGCATATTTTAGGGATTAATGTACAGTCTACATATTTTCTTCTTCAAAATGGTGGTAATCTATGGCACCGATTTTTAGTAAAATGATGTTGGGACCAGAAACCAGCAATAACATTATTAAAACTGTGAATAGCTTTGGGGCCACCTGTAGATTTTTCTTGTGTTACTAAAACATTGAAAAGCTAACAAGAGTATTAACTTTTTTTTAAAAAAGGAAAAGTTTACTATGCTTCATAAAAGCTCACTTTTATCGTCTCCATACTTGCACTCTATCAGAGTTCCCCAACCTTGTGGGGTTGGCAGCCCAGAGCAAAGTGAGGAAGGAAAGAAGGGATGGCTTTGTGGGAGGGATAAACGCATATGTGCGCACGAATACCCATTGCTTGTGCAAGTGGGGCCGTGAATGACTGCAATGATACTTGTGGCGATGCTCATGTGAGTGGGTCCACGCGCACCTGCAACGATGCTCACGGCAATGCTTGTGCTAATTGGGCCACTAACACCTGCAGCAATGCTCACGCAAGTGGGGCCACAATCACCTGTGATACTTGTGGTAACACTTGCATGAGTGGGGCTGTGCACGCACACATACACGCATATACCAACCAGCCACTCATGCCACCCAGTGGCCAATAGGCTGTGGCCCACAGGTTGGAGACCCCTGTCCTATATGACTCCTGAGTGTTTCTTGGCAATCTATAAATGCTAAATTGACACGTCTCGATTCCAGGCTAAAAGCTGCATCTACAAATGACTTACCTACAGTCTGTTCAGAATCAAGTACAGTGACAGTGATGTTGATGGAGTTTTGCTGATCCACAGTATCTGTTACGGTGAATTGGAAGATATAAATCCCCTCATTCAGATTCGAAAGCATCATAATATCATTCTCTTTCTGAAGATACAAGAAAAAAAAAATCAGAAATAAAAATGACCTAAGCAAAAAATCAGAAATAAAAATGACCTAAGTGTTTCCCTCACTTTAGAGTTTATCTAAGCAACTCTGAGGTTGCTTATCGTATTATACAGTCCCATCATGTATAAATATAAGGAGTTGCTAAATTCAGAATTCTTTGTAGCATAACCCCAGAATTATGTAGATGCTTTAGAATCGTTTAGGTTGTGCAATGGTTCATGAATCTCATGTTATTTCTCTGTATGCCACGCAATGTTACAAACTCTCAGTTAGCAAACAATTTGCAATCCAACAGAAGTTAAATAAAATGGCATTTTTTCCTCTATCTAACATTTAGGAAATGGGCTATTTCATAGCTTATCAAATACCTGTGAATGTTTTTTCTTTCTTCTAAATTGTCTTAATCATAAAACAAGCTCTACTACCATACAGTACAAAACAACAGAAGAGCAGTCTTTGTAGTGGCACATTCTCAATATTCAAGTTAGAAGAATAAATTAAAGCATTACTAAATGGTTATTTTGTAGTTTTTTAAGCTGATAATCTAAAAATCATTCGCAAAGGAATGTAACAAAATCATAACATTCAAAATCAATGTACTAAATCAGCTTTAAAAAAACCTCAACACACCTATCGTGATTAAACATATTGTTCATAACATGCAGCAGCTAAGTATAAAAGATCTCCAAAGTATATAGTTAGATTTAGAAATGAGTAATTTTTTTAAAAAAAATTGCTCTAATGTTTTTATGTATATAGATTTGATGTCCTGGATTTGCACAGCCTAGGCGAGCCCTTGAATAAGATATTTGATTTTGAATGAATGAATGAATGAATGAATGAATGAAATGAAACTAAGAACTATCTTATTCTCATCCCATCTTTGTACTTTGTACCTCTCCCAGTTATATAATATACTTGCTTACCTGGGAGAGGGACAAAAGCACTGCTTTGATGGAGAGCACTTGCCAGGAGATGGAAATGCCCAATACAATTATAATAAATTATTCATGCATTAGTCTTCATGTGTTTCAGTGTTGTGAGACGTCTTCATGTTACATACATTGTATTGTTCTATTCATGAACTCCCAGAAATAAGAATCTGTATTTAGATTAGATTTGATAGCTATATTAAATCATCTTTACAACTTTTAAAAGTTGATCTTTTCAGAACTACCAGACTCCAACTAAAAACAGAAATAACCCATTGTTCAACCCCATAGTGGTCATGATAATGACACTGATAATGTTTATGAAGAATTTCAGCTAAATTAGTCAGTCTATAAAAAGATCATCAACGGACACCTACATTCTTGAATTGGTTCAAGGCAAGGGAGCAAAATTAAAATGGTGAAAAGCTAGCCATATTTGTTAAGTACAAAAATGTACATCAGGGGTGTCAAACTCGCAACGTCATGTGAAGTGTTGCGACGTATTGCAACTTTTTTTCCATTGCTGACAATGGGATGGGCGCGGTTTCGGCATGATGCATCCAGCCCGCGGGCCAGCAGTTTGACACCCCTGATGTATATGATATGAGAAACCAGCAAGGAATTTCAGCGGATCTTACTGAAAGGTCCAAAAGGATCTGGAGGAATGAAGATAGCTTTACCTGTTAGATGGATGGAATGTATTATCAGAAAAAAAAGTCAAGTGTATCACATTCTCTGCTAAATGGCCATGCTAATTCCAAGGAATTAAAAAAATCTTCAAGTATTTTATAATCTCTATGCCAGTGGTTCTCAACCTTTTTAATGCCGTGACCCCCAACCGGTCGTAAGTCAATGACTACCAAACTGGTGCAGCACCGTTTGCAGAATGGGACTTTTGGCAGGCTCAGCAGGGCAGCCTGGACAATCCCTATTGGCTTTTGAAAGCCAATAGAATTAGACTCTATTCAAGAGAGTCTATTCTATTGGCTTTCAAAAGCCAATAGAATAAAAGGGAGTAGCACAGCTAAGGAAAAGGGGAAAAAAATGGCGGACTGCATTGTTTGGCAACCCCCGTGAAATGATCATTCAACCCCAAATGGGGTCCCGACCCACAGGTTGAGAACCACTGCTCTATGCTATCCTATTAATAATAATCTCTATGCTATCTTAATAACAATGTGAAGTTTAATTTTTTTTCTTATAATCCATATGGATTAAGTGGAGATTTTAAAAGTGCTACGGAAGGGAATCTTAGTAGTAGGCTTACCTCCATTACCACTGAGGAATCACCAGAAAGAAGACTCCATTCATAATTCACAATTCCATTATCATCAGTACTGTCTGAGCCATTCAATATTACTGGTTCATTACGGGGCTGGACTTTCACATCCATCCAAGCTTTAGGTTTAGGCGGCTGATCATCTAGTTTAAAAACAACAACAATCAGAATGCATTAATTTTTCAAAAATCTCATAGGACACAAACATCCACGTTGGCCAACTTGACAGAAAATAATACTATTGCAATTCAAGACAATGTTAACGGAATCAAATTAAACATCAGCCGCATTCTTGAGTTTCTCATGTGCTGTAAAAATACAAAACAACTTTGGGGCAGGGAGTGGGGCTTTCAGTTGAAAACAAGCTGATAAAATATTCAAAATATATAGAAGGACTCAACAAATCCCAACTTGGCTTGATACTACCTCCTTTTTCTTTTTAAAAAGACATTATCATGTGTTCAGATCAAAGCCATAAATTATAGTAAAGATGTAAGGGCTAGTGCTCTATGCGGACTATATGGATAAAGAAACGATACAAGCAGTTATTCAGAGCTTGGCAAAACAGATTTACTAGGTTCAAAGTAGGAAAATACAAAATTTTCTATGCATGGGAATAGCTTTTTAGGATGGTCCATCCCTGGACCAACAACCTGTACCATCCAGGCAAGGACTCCAAACATGCATATTCTGCGCAAAGGAGTTCTAGGATAGGAAACAGTGTGGTAAGGATAAGGCTATTAGCAATAGCTAGTGAGGTAAAGGGAAGAAAGGTATAATGACCAACAGGAAGAGACTGATAAGAAGAAAGATGAAGAAAGGGCAAAAAAAGCCTTGCCCATTCAACTTGTCTTGTAAGACCCCTGAGGTTTGCACCTTAGTTGAAACCTGAAACCAAAATATTCTGAGTTTTGACCCAGCTAAGCAATAACTTGTCCAGAATAGCTTGGTTGAACTTCTGGAAAATAATGTTTTTGTTTTGTATACAAAACAAAACACACATTTTCCAAAGCCCTAATTCAAAGCAAAGTAAACCATTCATTTGACCAGGCTTCAGGTTTGGTGTCATGACGAGACGGGCAAAAAAATTAACTGGAGCTCGGCTTCCTAGCCTGATTTCTCTCTGTCTGGAGACCCCAAGGGGTTGGAAAGTTGCCCTGGAGAGGCAACAAAGAAGAAGGGTAGCCTTGGGAGCTTGGAGCTGACGGCAATCGGCCCAAACAAACTAAGGAACCTCTTCAAACAGACAGAAGAAAGGCTGCCTGTAAATGCACAGGCAACCCAAGTCATAGACAATGGGGGGGGGAAGCAAAGAGCTAATTGTCAACAACGTGTGAGAACTGGGTGAGATTGTTTCTTTTTATTCCTTTTCCCTGTGAACTTGGAAATAGAAATCCCCTGATTGGAAAAAAATTCTAAAGCAAAGACCCTAGGAAAATTTGGGAAGAAGGCAGTTAAAAACGGTGAAAAACCTTAAATGGGGAAACGAAATTAAGGAATGCAAAAGAATATACAAAAATGGAATTGGGACCAATTTAAAGAAAATTTGGTTAACTCTTACAGCGTGGAAAAAAAATTCTTATCTAATTTCTGTGAGAAAGCAACTTCAAAAGAACTTTTTAAAACCTGGGTATTGACCAGCAGTTCTCAACCTGTGGGTTGCGACCCCTTTGGGGATCAAACAACCCTTTCACAGGGGTCGCCTAAGACCATCGGAAAACACATATTTCCGATGGTCTTAGGAACTGAGACATCACTCCTCTATCCGTCTCCACACGGCTTCGAGCTAGGGGCCGTTGCAGCGCTGGATTCGTTTCCGTCGAGCATCTCCTAAGGAAGGCTGCGCTGCTTCGTGGCCCTTTCCGCAGAGGAGGTTGAACTAAGCTCTGCCGGCGCTGTCGCCCTCTTGGCTCTCGCTCTCTCTCCCTCTCCCCGCCTGGGCGCTCTCTCCCTCTCCCCGCCTGGGCCTTCCTGCCCCCCCTCCCCAGCCAGCTGGAGCCGGGCAGGCCAGGGACTTTCGGAAGTGAGGCAAGGACAGGCAAGGCACGCTGAGCCCCGGGCACGGAGGGTAAGTGGGCGGCGTCGGTGTGCGCTTGGAGAGCCCTTAGGGTTGGGGGTCACCACAACATGAGGAACTGTATTAAAGGGTCGCGGCATTAGGAAGGTTGAGAACCACTGGTATAGACAATACAGTAAATAAGGACATCTAGTGGTGAAAAGAGATACTACAACAATACTAAAAGAAAACAAAAGATTGTTGTATTATTATTATTATTATTATTATTATTATTATTATTATTATTATTATTATTATTATTAATGTTGGAAGGGACCTTGGAGGTCATCTAGTCCAACCCTCTGCTCAGGCAGAAAACCCTATATCATTTCAGACAAATGGAGGGACATGATTTACAACCTGATTGGCATGCATTCCTATGGTATGGGAAAAATAAAATTTATAAATATTTTTTAAACCACTATATTAGAAATGCATTACTAACATGGGAAAAAATAAATTGTAAAATATATTTGAAAATTCCAGGATGGCTTTCAACAATGGAAGCATTTGTACATCCAAATTTAGTCAGTTTCGAGAAAATATGGACACATAAAGGTATTCTAAATTCTGAAGGGAATTTAAAATCTAAACAAGATATGGAAAATCAGGGTATTGATCTATCATGGTGGGCATATTTACAAATGCAAGTCAGATACAATAAAGATGTTAAATAGTACGCATTTTATAAAGAGCAGACCTTGTTTGATCACACATTATTAATCTCTGATGAGAAATTAATTAAGAAAATGTATAACTTTTTATTGAATTTAAAAATGGAAAATGAACAAATAAAAGAAACAATGATAACATGGTAAAGAATTTTAGATATAATATAAATTTAGAGAAATGGCAAAACCTGTGGGAAAGAAATTATAAATTGACAATATCAATCTCTTACAAAGAAAGCCTATATAAAATGTTCCATAGATGGCATTTGCCATCAGCAAGATTAGCAAAAATGTTGAAAAATATGTCAGATAGATGTTGGAAATGTAAATGCAAATCAGATATCTATTTTCATGTATGATGGACATGCGTTAAAGCAAAGAGATATTGGTCAAAAATACTTACTTGGCTAAAAAAGATGTTGGAAAAACATGTAGATTTTAAACCTGAACTTTTTTTATTAGGTATAATGCCAGAAAAGAATGATAAACAAAGTATATACTTGATTTTACATGTGATAAAAGCGGCAAGAATCATATTCGCACAATATTGGAAAAATGAAGCAATACCACCAAAGAAAGAAATAATTAAAAAAATACTAGATTGTACGGAAATGGACAGACTTAGGTTGAAAGAAAAAGAAGAAACAGAATACTATCAAACTTAGGACTTATTTTATCAATGGCTGGAGAAAAGAATAAAGGATTAGGGATTAAACCTGTATTAGTGAATGATAAACTCAGACAACATGTTTGTTGAACAAGGAGAAACTTCCTGACACTTAGAACAATTAACCAGTGGAACAACCTGCCTCCAGAAGCAGTGAATGCTCCAACACTGGAAGTTTTTAAGAAGAGACTGGACAGCCATTTGTCTGAAATGGTATAGGGTTTCCTGCCTGAGCAGGGGGTTGGACTAGATGACCTCCAAGATCCCTTCCATCATCATCATCATCATCATCATCATTATTTACTATTGAATTCTATGAAAAAACCAATTAATAATTTAAAAAAAAAACATTTACTCAACCAAACATGTTTGGCTAGCACTAGCAACCTGCATGACACTGAGCCAAAGATGCAAATTAAAGCACAGATAGAACAAGTGGATGTCATCAGCTGTTTTCAAGTTGTCTCTAGGAAACATTTGGAAACAGTACTCTGAATAGTACTCTTGTTCCACCTCCTTTCCTATTAAACCCATGAGATCAATTTGTGGCAACCAGCTGTTCTCAGTGTTCAATAGGTAAACTTGACCAAATTAAGTTCCCTTATGTAGGTGCTCAATGTGCTACAAACCTGGAAGATCTGTGACCAGAATAATGCCTGCCAGAGAAGAACTTTTTATGCATAAGCACTTAACATCATTTAGTGATGTATCTTGTGACAAGAAATAAGATGAAAGAAAAAATATAAGTATGCCAAATAAAATAGCATAATATGATGGAACAAATGCTAAATCAGCTTTAATCAGGACATTCATTTTAATCATTTCACTTCCATCCCTGCTTCCTGGAGACTCTCTCTCTTTCCTTGTCTTTATTAAAAACTAACTGGATGTGGTGAAGGATACCAATTTTAAAAACAGAGAGAGGCTACATAGATTCCTCAGCAATGCTGTTATATCAAATTTGTGTCTTTTCTTGTTTCATTCTGTTTGAGCATAGGAAAAAAGAAATAAGATACTGAAACCTCAGTCTTGGATCCTATGAAGATACATATATATATGATGTGATATATGATACCACGTATTCAGTATATGAAGTTATGCACATTATCTACTTAAAACTGTTTAACCCATTTTTCTCCACAGAGATCTCAATGCCTCTTATATCCAAACACCTTGCCAAGGAATTTCTGTCAGTAGAGTAAGGCTACGATCAATCTCTCCCAGTCTCAAATGCCAACAGCCACTGGTTTCTGCCACACCCATCCTCATTTTTTGCCTCCCACCTTGTTGATTTATACCAGTTGAAAAGATTAATGGGAAGTTCAACCTAAGGAATTCAAGTTCTAAGGCAGTCTCGTCACCACTTAACGCAGAGCTGAAGCATTTTGATCACTTGACTATGAAGACAATATGATCATAAGTGTGAGGTTCAGTCGTAAGTCATTTTGTTTGGCACCACTGCACCATTGTAACTTTGAACGGTCATTAAACAATAGCAATAGCACTTATACCCATATACCACTTCACAATTCTTTACAGCCCTCTCTAAGCATTTTACAGAGTCAGTATGTTGCCCACAACAATCTGGGTCCTCATTTTACCAATCTGGGAAGGGTGAAAGGCTGAGTCAGCCTTGAGCCGATGAGGATTAAACTGCTGGCAGTCAACAGAATTAGCCTGCAATACTGCATTCTAACCACTACATCACCACAGCTCTTATGGTTGTTAGTTGAGGATAGTTGTAAGTTT